GGATCGACTGCACCCTTAGCAAATTTACTGACACCCAGTTGAGTGGTGCGGTTGACACACCTGAGAGACGGGATGCCATCCAGAGGGACCTGGACAAGCTCAAGAAGTGGGCCCATGTGAACCTCATGAGGTTCAACAAGGCCAAGTGCAAGGTCCTGCACCTGGGTCAGAGCAACCCCTGGTATCAATACAGGATGGGGGATGAAGGGATTGAGAGCAGCCCTGCTGAGAAGGACTTGGGGGTACTGGTGGACAAAAAGCTGGACATGAGCCAGCAATGTGCACTTGCAGGCCAGAAGGCCAACCGTATCCTGGGCTGCATCAAAAGAAGCATGGCCAGCAGGTCGAGGGAGGTGATTCTGGCCCTCTACTCTGCTCTGGTGAGACTCCACCTGGAGTACTGCATCCAGCTCTGGAGCCCTCAGCACAAGAAGGACATGGACCTGTTGGAGCAGGTCCGGAGGAGGGCCACAAAAGTGATCAGGGAGATGGAACACCTCTCCTATGAAGAAAGGCTGAGAGAGTTGGGGTTGTACAGCCTAGAGAAGAGAAGGCTTCAGGGAGACCTTATTGCAGCCTATCAGTCTTTAAAGGGGGCTTATAAGATGGCAGCAAATTTTTAGCAGTGCCTGTTGCAACAGGACATGGGGGAATGGTTTTTACACTAAAAGAGGGTAGATCTAGAGTAGATATAAGGAAGAAATTTTTTACAGTGAGGGTGGTGAAACACTTGAACAGGTTGCCCAGAGAGGTGGTAGATGCCCCATCCCTGGAAATATTCAAGGTCAGGTTGGATGGGGCTCTGAGCAATCTGACCTAGTTGAAGATGTCCCTGCTCATTGCAGGTGGGTTGGACTAGATGACCTTTAAAGGTCCCTTCCAACCCAAACCATTCTATGAAAACACCATATTATACTACAACTTCAGTGAGAGCTTGCAGTCTAAGTTGAGGCACAATTGCATAATAAAAATAAAATCAGACTTCCTTAGTGCTAGTACTGATAATTTTTTTGTTTATCCAACAGCTACTTATTGATTTTTTTTTTTAATGGATGTTGGACATTAACTAGGACCCTCCTTCTAGGGCATTAGTACTAGTACCTTGTACAAGGTTTCATAGCTGAAGTCTGCTTTCATCTTAGCTATGTGTCTTTAGGGTGTTCTTTGGCTCTTTCCTTAAATACCTCAATACTGCCTAAAATCCTTTCCATTCCTCAAGCAAGAATTTGCAGATCAAATAATATCTGGTCTGTCCGATTCTTGAGAAGTACTAGTCAACAAGGAAGAGCAGGAATACATCACATTTGCTAGCCTGGTGCTTAAAGTCTTCTACAAGTTATATCAGATAAATATTGGGGGGACATGGGGAACGATACAGACACACCTAAATCTTAACCAGAAACCTCTATCAATCTGTTCAGTAGTGGAGAGGACAAGGACATTAAGTACCTTAAATGTCAGGGTAAAACAATTTAGATTTTGGCCTAGGAGCTTCCAGAGCCAATACTGAGTTTTTTGTAACAAGTTTCCAAGGACTCTCGATTTGAGTATTTTCATTAGTCTCCTTCATGTCAAGCATGAGTTTTCTATAACGACAGCATGCATATGTTTAAGTTGCTCTGCCTCTAATACATTAAACAGGACACAAAAGAACCCTTGGCTATACCAAGGTACTCAAGGTAGAAACAGCATGTAGATTTCAGCAATAGGAGAAGAATTAATGACATATGAATCGGATTCCATCACCAACTTTAAAACCAACTACCTGGTTTTTTTGCCCAAAGCCAGTGAGGAACACACAACCTTTGTCAGAGCTTGAAAGGGGCCACGCCTTCTCTAAACTCACAGCTCTTCCTCTAAACCTAAAAGAAAAAAACATGTACTTAGGCACTTAAATAAGAATCAATGCTCTATGTGCCCAGCACTAGGAACTAAGACTTTAAGTTCAGCTGCTGCATGGATTTCTTGAGCTGCCTCTACTGATCCAACCCAATTCAGCTGCAACATTTCCCAGATCTGTCAGGGGAAAAGGGAAAATTGTACAAAAAGCTTTCCAAAGGCAGTAGAAAGAAAAGAGTAGTTTAACTGGCATTGAGCCAAGTAAGATCTCCTATTCACTGTTCTTCTGCTATTAGCCATTGTGGTATACATTGCTGCCCTATAAAAATACTTCTCCAAAGTTAGACTCATTTCCAAACCACTTAAAGAATGTGGATTTCATGTCTGTAACAAATCTAGGATATGGTCCAGAACCATCTATTAGTAGTCAACACTGCTCATGCAGCCTCCCTGAACACAATAGTTTCAGAGATATATGAGAACTCTAGGGATACAACACCAAAAACCTATCAAGTCTTGCCAGGGACGGAGACAAAGAACAAGCAAGACATTTTGCTTAAACATGCATGAGCAACTGCAGGTTCAAGAAACCTCATCAGCTTATTCATTTGCCTACATCTTCTCCACTCATGCAGCAGTTAAGAACTGAGTGATGCCTCTTCTCATGGCCATACAGATATACTTTGCTCATGCAGTCCTTAGTGCCACTCATACAGCTAATCTACATCTTTTCTTGATCAACTCTCTCCAAAATAAGGCAGATTTTGTTTAACAACGAGTTCAGTAAAGACTATTTGTAAATCTGTTGAAGTCAGATTCTAAAAAAAGTCACAAAACTCCATTTGGCTTGCCAGACAACATTTAATTACAATGTCATTGTATTACCTTATTGTCATCATCCTTTGACTTAGCAGGGCTTTTTGCCTTAAAATCCAGTTTTATCCTAGGCAAGAAGCAAACTACCATCTTTGGCACTTTTCCCGAAGCTCTCAATCCTGTTGCTGTAATCATGTGCACCTAACAAGGCACCCCAGTGAGCACAGTTAAGATTCCAAAAACTACTGCAGTTCAATTACTGATGATCTACTCCAAAAGCAAGAAAAAGCAGAGGGATATCAGCCCATAAACTGACTCCGAAGATTCTCTTAGGAATCATATTTAAGCCTTCATCAAAAAAATTCTTATTCCATCTACAGAGGAATATATCACAATCTATTCCTTAGAAGAAATATTTTGTTATATATACAGCCCAATATTTATACACAATAGATTTTTAAATGCATTACCTAACTTGTATTTTATGTGTGTATGCATGTGCACACATGTAGGCATGTTTTTAAAAAGGTAAGTTGTCCTTACAAAGCTTCCTACCGTGAGTGCAATCCAAGAAAGCTCACAGCTAATATCCATAAATTATGACAAATGCATTCATTAGCCCAAAGCTTGCATAACCAGTTTATCTTAATAGTAATAATATAACTCAGTTCAAAGTTGAACTAGGTTCACATTAAGCAAAAAACATTTGCTGTGTCTCACTTGTCTTACCACTTTAACTCTTTTAATAGAAACAATTTTGTTCTTAAAGGCCTGCCATCCTAAACCTGAAAGCATTTCTCTAAGAGCCCCTTCCCAGTGTTTTCTTCCAAGGTCACATATCTCCAGCAGGCTTCACAACCAGATTTCCAAGACAAAGTACAACATGCTGCATGCCTATATAATATTCAATGAATAAATATATTTGTCCTTGTGTAAGTGCATGGACTGAGGGAAATGGAAACAGATCAGGAAACCTTTTTTGGGAGACTATGTTTTGGGAGACAGATTTTTAAACTTGATTGATTATCAGCTGTGGAACAGTAATTTTTTTTTAGCATTAAATTGAAAATCTCTGTGCTACAGGAAAAGACTACTTACAAACAAACTCACAGTTTGTTACAAATTTAGAAGCTCATAGTTGTTTTCCATTTAATTACAGATTCATTAGTTGAGTCTCCCTGACATGACTTCATATTATAATTTCAAGTTGGGTCTGCATAATGTCACTCCTACTCTATAAGGGATAAACACTAGGCCATATATGTTCCTTAGAGTCCGAGGCAGGGGGAAAAAAAAAAAAAAGGAAAAAAGTCAGGTTAGAAATCAGGCAAGAGCTCAACTACAACTGGTCTTTTATGTCACAGTGACTGAAGTTTCCAGGATCCTAATTTTAAGTTTGCAGGAAGTATAACTCTTATTTACACACATTTAGAGAAGACTATAAATGCCACACAAGACCCATTAGAAATATAGAATTTATTTTCTTCACATTCAGACAGCAATACATTGCAATTTGAACATGCCACGTCTTGTTATCATAGGTGACTTACGGATCCTATGTTTACAGTTGTGATAGCTATTGCTAGCCCAGATCAACACAAAATGTGTTTCTGGAGTGGCTCTCTTGAGATCTTTAAGCCATTAGCAGCAATTTTTGCAGAAGGGTAGTCTTGAAAACCCACTTCATAAAAATTCATCTGTCATAGCCTACATTATCCAGCTGTTTACCATATCTTACCTTTACAGCTCCAGATCTCAAGAAAGCAATTTTGACAGTAGTAGTGGACAGGGAGATTGAGGACTTGCCCCTTATCTTCCCTCAGGTAGCAGTTCTCAATAAAGGCAATACCATGTTATAAGGCCACCAAATTCATCATGGTCCGTGAACTGTGCTTTTGGCAGGGCAGCTCCTTTCCCATTCTTCAGGGTCTGCAGCCCTTGCTTCCCTTCCCCCCTTGCACATCCAGGTGCAAGCTAACCAAAAGAGTCAATCTTACAGTTCTGACAACATCCTAAAACACATTATTTAAGTCATCTACAACTAAAAGTCTGTGAGCAACAGGAAAAAAGACAAAGTTTTGTTATGTTTAAAGCTTCAAAGTACTATGAACAAGAGGTATCTTCACAAGCAGTGTCCTGATAGTATCTGTTCAGTGTACTTCCCTTCATCCTTACAAACTCAGGAAAAACTGTGGTGCTTTTTTCCTTTTGTCTCTTAGCTCTCCACACATTCAGCTAGAGAATACTAGGAGCTGCAGTGCATCATCACATGAAGATGGGGAGGGGCAAGGGAGTGAGAAAAGTGAAAAGGGAAGGAGAGACACAGAGACACTGCCCTTGGCAGGCTTTGCACCAGCCATACAGAGAATATGCACACACATGATGAGGGATTTTGTTGCTCCAGTTTTTGTGGGTTTTTGTTTTCGTAATTAAAAACATTATTCCTGCTAAGGCTGGTTGTGCAAAATTAGTTTTCAAGAACGACCATTCAGTCTGACTCTGTTCCTGTAGACAGACTTCCTATTGATCCATTTCTCACCAGCATCTTGCTGTAGTTTTTCTGCTGTTCTTCTTTGAAAGTATCTTTGACTTTTGCTCGTTTCAGACCTCCATCCCTGGAACAGAGCAAGAGAGAAAAGTAACCCATCATGATTGTTACCACTATTGTTATCAAACTAGGTATTATACTATTTAGTCAACTGAGCCTAAAAGATTATTAAGGCAGCTTTTCTTCAGAACTTCTAGAACATCCAAGTTTAAGCATGTTTATTAAAACTTTTACCTTAAGCCATAATGCTTATGCAGTCCAAATTTTGAGTTTAGCCCATTAAAGCAGCCCACTCATGTTGGTAACAGATTGTACCTACCATAGAAATCTTTGCCAACCTGGGATGCTATTTCCCTAGAATGTAGAGGCAGTCAATCTTGTGTAACACCATAGTTGTCTCTTGCCTTACATCATTCAGAGGGCCACCTGGGCCTCACAGTTGAGTCCGTTTGCCCATTCTCTTCATCAGAATCCTGCTCTCAAGTTTGTTTCATACAGTCTTATGAAATCCAGGCATTATGCTGCTACTTACTGAGGTAGGACATGAGAAAGACGGAGCAGAAAGCTGCAAGCCCTGTTTTATTTTTTGTTGTTTATCAGTTTTGTGATGTAACTTCACTTCTGCTCCTTAATCTCAGCATGAGTCTCAACATTAGAAACAACTGTGAAGGGGTCCTCTTCAAAAGCATCAAGACTTTAGGTAAAACTCACTGCATGAGAGCTACATGCTCCAAAGACTTTGTACATTTTTTTTATTTTTACTTTCACATACACATATGTGCATGTGAAGTTGCTCCCTCATTTTCTCCTGAGTGGAATAATGTTGAATATTATTTGTCACAAAGCTAAGGGAGGAAGCACCTCTCAATCAAACTAACAATAGATAGTCCATGAAGTCTAACAAGGATGGCATCACTCACCAGGGAAGTTCAGTCAGTCCTCCTTGGTGAGCAATGGCTGACTTCACTCTGTTGGCAAACTGCACAGCATCTTCGCCTTCCTTCAAGGGTCATAAATTCAAGATAATCAAAGCAGAGAGAAGTGAATTGAAACAGACTTCCATAACGCTTTTCATCTGCTGCCTCATCAAATTAGCTCACTGCCAAACGATCCGTCCCTTATCATGCCAACACAATCTGATGTTCCAACATGATAATTATTTAGCCCATTTTTGCCCTGAAGTGTTGAAATTAGGGGAAAAATTTTGCTCCAACAGGATGGAACATTAACAGCATTGCTACTGTGAATAGCAGTATATTTACTGCCATCCTTTGCATATTTGATGCACTGCCGATGGTACCAAGCTGCATCAGGAAAAGCTAAGTCCAGTCATACATCAAAGTCAACACTAACAAAAGTCCAGTCAACACTAAAAGTCCAGTATAAAACTGATTTGGAGACATGGGGTGGGTAGGGGTTTTGGGGAAACAGAGTAAGAACACACTTGCAGATACAGTCAGGTTCTTAAATAGTGATCAGTCAACCAGATGCTAGATTACCTTTCTAACCATTGGTGGCATGTACCACACATTGCAAACAATGGCCCAGCTGGTCATTATTCGCAGCAGATAGCTCACGATGTTGTATTTGCTGCTGTTCCAGAATGCATCTCCAAACTGAGGATCATACTGTAAGGGATCACAAAAAACAAATGATAAAACCCTTTCCCCACAGACCATCACAGCCTGTCTCAGATCTGAGGAGGATGCTTTCAATCTCATGCCAGAGTAAGAAAATTCACAATTGACATGTTTGCTTAGAACAAGGCTTTAGAAAAATTAGCCTGTGCTTATTAGTGCTGCTTGTGATTACATGACAGAACCAGCAGCAGATGTCACCCATTTGCCCAAACAGCAAAAAAAGCTAAGTCTGCTGCGAGCTGTATCCTTTTCTTCCATTCAGCACTGGAAAGGACTAGCTGGATCTCCTTTCCTTCCAGCTTTCTGGAGGAAAAAGCTGAGCCCACCAGGTCCTACCAGCCAGGCTCCATAGGCTGAAGGACTTCACTTTCTCATTTCAGCCATGTATACTCTAGAAGTTATCCATGGCACATAGCCAACTGCCAGGAATACTGTGCATTCATTAGCAGCTGCAGTGAGACAACTTCCTACCACCCTGACAAAAACAGATCCCAAACTTTGAAATTCAGCAGCCAGCTATTTCCACTTACTTTGATTGCAACAGGATAGATTGTCCCTCCTATTTCAAAGCTCCCCTTCTTGAACATCATTACAGATGTATTGTTTATGCAGGTGCCTGTCCAGAAGAGAAACTAGTCATTACTTCACACAGCCTACCACATTTCAGTAGCAACACTACAAAATACAGGTCTTACACTCACTGAGGAGCAAATGCAGGCCCTTTATGAGTAAGTTAAGCATCTCTTGCCTGCTTGCTTTCATTCTTTGTCTTGTGACTGACTCCCTGATTCAAGTCAGAACATGTGTGAGAAAAAGCACAAGGCTGAAGTTAGATCTGTAGGACAGTGAATTGATATTCATAGGGCGAAAGAAACAATCTTCCCATTCTTCTGCCTACAGCTTCTGCCAGGAGACCCAACAGCCAGGGACAGTATTGTGTTGTCTTTGTGTAATCTCATATTAAAGATGAAAAATAGGAATGCCCTAATAAAATCTAAGACAGAGGTAAAGATACATTTGAGCACCAGAAACCATGAAAAGAGAACAGGGATGACATCTACACTGAATGGAGATAAGGAGCAGTTCAGCTTCTTACCTTCCGGAAAAATTAAGATCGGGAGTTTGCTCTTATCCGCCACATGTTCCCTGAGTCTGTGGAAGCAGAAGGAAAGCTTAAAAAATAGCTCCTTTCCATTCTTCTTTCCCCAGGCAGGTGCATTAAAAATATCTTTACATATAACACATTTGTTTGAAACCAGCACCTTTTACTGGACACTAATTTGTACTTGCCTTCCTGTTTCCGACAAATATGAAGCTTTGTGCAAGCCATCCCTTAGGCCCCCAGTGCATTACACTGAGGCAACATCCTGTTTTCTTTCCTCCATATTATTTTACTAATGACTGTCAGGGAAGTCAACAAATGTATGCCATTAAGTCAGTCCAATTAACTCTCAACTACTCAACCTGCAAGAAATTGCCTACATAAGAAAAAAAAGTCTTATGCAGTGGTCCATCTTACTTAACAGCAGATTTCTTAAGAGGACTCCTAAATGCCTACAGCTCACATTACTTGAATAACACTTGGATGACTTGGCAAAGCTGCCCTGCTGGGCAGAGGCCAATGAGGTGGTAAAGAAGTTAACCTGTCACAATTAACCTAAAAGTTTTTTAAAAAAATCAGGAAAAATTTCTCTCACTGTACTACAGTGTTCATGGGTATGCTTTGGGTGACATTCTGCAGAAAACTGCCTTTGTAAGCAGCTCAATTTTTTAACTAGACACATTTTTGCCCCTCACCCAAACAAGCAAAGATTGTTATTTCTAGTGGCTCACAATTTCGAATGAAGTTGAGACAGTTCGTGTCACAGAAAGCCCATTTTTTCACCAGTATTTCTCTTCAACAGAAAATCCCAGAATTTGAAGTATCTTCACATCCTTTCAAAATGTGTATCTGTATTCATCAGCCATTACTTATGCTGACGGCTACCCAAATGACATCTTTGTGACAGCCTGTTGCAATCCAGACCTTACCAGAACCTTTGGTCTGAACCGTTTCACCCTATATAAACTTTTCAAGCCTTCCTTGGTGACCTGGGAACCTGACATTTTGACCATAGTCTAGTGTACCAAAGCCCACACAAGCAAGCATTATTCGGGTCATTCTGAATGATACAGTTTGCTGCATACCACTCCCCCAATTCACTCCAAGAACTGCTGTTGAGCCACTACTATATTGATTGCTTCCACTCCTACCTATATCTACCGATTTGCAATACCCTGCATTGTTCCAGCCTACGGTAATGTGGAATTACAGATAAATGCTAATCACAGGGATACGAGTTATAAGCAGCAGTCATCATTTGGAATAAGACAACTAGATATTGCTCCTGCTAAAAGAAGATGCTTTTGCAAGTTGGCCTTTTGCCCTCTTAAGACCCCAAGCTTCCAAATTCCCTGTTTCCCACTGCAACCTCATTAGCTTCTTGGGCTTCTGCCTTTCCAAAGCTTTACTTCCTCATCTGGGTCTTTGATTGTTCAATGACTCATTGGGGATTACGTACCCGGGCGTGACCTCTCAGGCACTAGTAGGTACTGGAGTTACGCTAGCACTGCAATCCCCCGCTCCAACCCACACCTCACCTTTTTGTCACTAGATGGCGGTCTTTGATTTCTGAGCGTTCAAACCAGACGTGAGGACAGGCCTTGACGGTGGCTCTCTGAATAACTCCCATTAGTCCACCGTGAACCTGGCCAACCTGCAAGCCCAGTAAGGCACATCAGCACACGAGACACCTGAAAAGCAGAACTTCCTCTTCTGCATCCCCCTCAAAAAAACCCAAACACACTGGAGACAGCAAACCAGGATTGGGCGGTGCCCACAAAAACTATTGAAATGCATTCACTTGAAAGGATCTAGATGCATGCATAGAAGCATATCTCATTTCACCAGATGAAGAGCCTAGCATTGACACTGCCAGGACAACTTCACCAGCATGTAACTTGTAGACCAACTTCAACACAATTTATACTTTTCCCCACTGACTAGCGCTCAAGTTAACATCTCTACTGTGAACTGGAGTACTGAACTCCACAACCAATGCCCCGCAATCTTTCCCTTTCCTGGCCCCTCTCCCTCTGTTGTGGTCATCACGGATCTCCTCATACCATTGCATAGCATCCATCGTTTGTCAAAATGATTGCATCTATCGGTGATGTGTGGTTGGCAACACAAATTCCTCCTTTCTGAGGTTTGTTTTCCCTGCAATTACATAATTTTTTGTTAGACTACTAGTGCACTAAGCACCACATTATACACACAACAGTTCCATAAAGCTGTCAGGTGAGTCAGCATCTAGTGTGACATTAACCTGCGGGTCAGGAAAGAGCTACCCCATTTCAAATGGGATACTCACACACATAGAAGTGTACACACAGTTTTGCTGTCATAACATCAGCTTACTCACTTGTTATGGTAATGGATAGTACCAGACAGAGCTCTGACAAGGATGCGGGAGCACGTGAGGTGGACCACTTCACTCAGATAGTTTTTCACACTGAAAGAAATCACAGGCACCTGAAGGATATGGAAAGCAGCTAGACACACGTGGAATATTCTCCAATGTACTCAACACAACTCAGGGCTGAAATTTTCCCTGGTACTCTGGAGCACAGAGGGATATTCCCAGCTCTACCACTCACTTGCTACAGCAGCTTCACTAAGACATGTCATGCACTTGGTCTCACTTATCTAGGCAAGGCTGTCATCTCCTCACCGGGTATTTTTTTATCCCAGCACTTTTATCTTCCCTGCAATACTTCCTTGGAGTCTCTCACAACAGCAAGACAAGCCCATCAGAAACCACCAACCTCAGTGCCAAGCCTGGCAAGAAGCCAACCTCAACCCAAGTTCAAAATACCACTAAAAGCAAGGCCACAAGTTTGCGGGTGGAGCGGACTATCAGTAGTCTATCACTTGTAAAATCTGTCCAGTCCTAATCTTGAGCTGCTTGCACTGATGCAACTTGGCAAGCTCATCCCTCATCCACCACACACAGTACCTACCTGCTGTTTGGCAGCTGTCCTACCATTGTTGTCCCCACAATCATTGAGGTAATCCCAATGGCAGCGAGGGTAAAGCTACAGACAAAATAGACATTAAATCAAAATAAGTATTTTTGCTCATTTTAATATCACTTTCCCGTTTAAAATGGGAAGGGATTGCAGGAATTCAATTATTCCTCAGATACATGACATATCCAGTTGTCTAACTCAGTAATCCCCTGACACATTGCTAAAAATCATGATCTAGCAAAGGCAGCAGATTCAGATACCCCAATGCATACAGTGTCAGGGAGTTTCAGAGCTCACCCAGCTTACACTTACGTTGCCAATACACATGACAGAAAACATGACCACTAGCTCTAATCTACTCTCCACAGTAAATGGCAAGATAAAATGTTCTGAATGGCTTCTTAACCATTCAAAGGGGAGTTTAAGCCAGTTCATCTTCTGTATCTGCTAATGCTGCTTTTGGGTTAAAAAAGCTGAGATGACGTTTCCCAAGAAACCACGCATTTACATATTCCCAGACTGACAAAATCCCTCAGCACCCATGAGCTTACCGTAGGGGCAGCAGGAAGCAGTATCGCACTATAACCCCAATGACCCACACAACAGTCAGCCTCAGGCTGATGTAATGGAAGTTGACATTAGTCCTTGTGAGGAGATTCCAGGAGACCAGCTCTTCAGAGGAAAACCTTTGGGTGACTTCATCTTCCACAATGGCTTCCAACCCTTTTCTGCAGAAGTAGAATATGTCAGAGAATTCGAAGTCCGCTCGATGCAGACGCGCAATTTCTTTCTCCATAGGCGTTTCATCTCTTTCAATGATACCTTGGGAAGGAAAGGGTGACAACATGAGGAAATAATTCTATACAGTAACAGTCATCCTCCAAATCACTTGCTGCTCTGCATTACTCAAGGAGACAAATTTACTGTCAGAGCCCCTCCTATGATAGTGTTGTGGTTTAGCCCAGCAGGCAGCTCGCTCACTCCCTCCCACAGTGGGATAAGGGAGAGAATCGAAAAAAAAATTCATGGGTTGAGATAAAGACAGTTTAATAGGACAGAAAAGAAAGGGATAATAATAATAAAAGAATTTATGAACAAGTGATGCACAATGCAATTGGTCACCACCTGCCAACCGATGCCCAGCCAGTTCCCAAGCAGCAGTTGCTGACCCCCGGCCAACTCCCACAGTTTATATACTGAGCATGACATCATACGGTATGGAACATCCCTTTGGTCAATTTGGATCAGTTGTCTTAGCTGTGCCCTCTCCCAGCTTCTTGTGCACCTGGCAGAGCATGGGAAGCTGAAAAGTTCTTGACTAGTGTAAACACTACTTAACAACAACTAAAACATCAGTGTGTTATCAACATTCTTCTCATACTAAATCCAAAACACAGCACTATACCATCTACTAAGAAGAAAGTTTCCCAGCCGAAACCAGGACAGATAGCAAGATCAGATGGGTAGTTGAACAGAGCATACTTTTCAGTAGGCCAGTTCTTGCTCCCCTTCCTCACATAAACACCTTGAGCAGCAAATACATCAAGTTCTGTTGCCTGCTGAAGGTGAAGCAAGAAGGCAAACCCTTTCCCACTATCTGACATGCCCTCACTCAGCAACTTCATCCAAGACCATCTTACACTTTGAGAGGAAACCAACTGAGACCTTGGCCTTTCCATTCCATTCTGCTGGTGCTCTGTGTATTTAAGGGCATTCAGTCTCCTCCATGGAGGCTTCCCTGTTCCGTAGGCCCATCTCTTGTCAGACATTCTGGCGTCCCACAGCCACATTCACCTGAGACATGCTCTGCTGCTACCTGCCAAAGCCCCAGATCGCAACAGCTACCTGACATCTGTGCATGGACCAGCTTTGAACCAAACGCACCTCCCTCCCTTCACAGCACAAGTCTTTTCTATAAGCACAGACAGGACCGCAATATTTTTTATTTTAGTTTAAATCAAACAAAGGAAAACACTCCAAAAAACGAAAGTCAAATTTGTGCCCAGAGGTGCCTTGATGTAATTTAGTTCGGAACTAACAATTGTGTTTCAGTTGAACTCTGCCCATATAATGCCTGGCAATAGAAAAGAAACCTGGAGAGTTCAGAATTGCAGTACAAATAACAAGTATTCCCTCTCCTCCCCCCTTCTCATTTTTTATACTTACGGTCTGATAAGCACCAATTTCTCACTAGAGCTTTCAAAGGCAAGGACAAATTGCGTAAGCTAAATATAAAGATCAAGTAGCTGCTTTCTGCTAAGCAAGTCTGGCTCCAGAAATTGATGACTCAAGAAATCTACAATAACATTTAACCAGAACAACTATCCCTTGAGACACTCAACTAGGATTACAGAGGTCCAAGTTCAGGTTGCCACTCTGTCAGACACCCTCTGACAAATTGCATAATCTCTGTGCTTCCATGTTGAGATAAAAAAAATGGGAAAGGAGGAAGCACCCAACTGTTTCAAGCTACTAGGCACTTTCCCACAAATACACATCCCACAATGGAAATCTGCATCCCAAGGAAGTCTCGCCAGCAGAAAAACTCTGTGAATATATTTGCTGTGCAAATCACATGCAACATTTAAATTATAAGTGACATGGAAAATCTTTGTATTGCACTGTAGCATGTATATGGGATAACACAAGAAGCTCCAAGATACAAGTCCCACAAATCACTGAGGTAAACACTAAAAAGATGTCACACTGCAACAAAACCTATTAGCACCTTCAGCTCTGAACTTGGCAGCCACAACTTGCAATTCCAACAGCAGACCACCTCAGTGCATTGTCCTATCACTAGTCTATAAATATAAATCATTAATATGGCACACCCAAACACCCACATGCCCTTCAGGATCTAAATTATACAAACACACATAACATCAAACATTTAGCAGGATGGACTACACTTGTGTCATATTTTAAACCCAAACCAGAGCTCTAGTCTGGGGTTCAATTTTCCTCTCAGTCAGTCCCTTAAACTTCTCAGCTGTAAAACATCCATGACTGTAGGTGAGTCAGCCCAATGTGTCTGCTCCATGCTGCTGCTGGGGTGGGAGACAAGTCATAGCCAAGAAACTGGCCAGGGGAACTCTCCAGCACCCATCACACAAGTACCACTCTTCCCTCCAGTTCCCAGGAGAACTGGGAATGCTTCCTCTTTAACCAGCACCCAGTCCAGCATCAGCCTAGCAATTGGCTCCCCTGGCTCCTACTTCTTGGCTGAAACCAGCCCAGGGTTCAGGTTTAACACACTGCTGGCACAGCTGAGATAGCATGGCTGTAATGTCTTGCCTCACCAGCCTGTAATGTCTTGCTGTCATCACCACATGACACCCCCATGTGCAAGCTGCCTTGCAGCCCTTGGGACAAGCTACTCTGAGCCAAGATCTCAGCAGCACCTGAAGGTATTATGAACAGAATTAAACACATGCTGCTCAGGTGATGTACTTAGCCTTCTTGTAATCAGAAGTCACATTTAATGGCCTTTAATCCCTTGGCCATGGGCAGAGCTGAGTTTGCCAAAAGACGGCTAAAACGCAGCATTATGTAGAAGTACAGCAAACGTCACCCTCAACCAAAAAAGCCGTAGCCGCTGCTTTATTCAGTGTCAAAGCACAAGCCCCAAGCCTTCGAGCTCACATACTCTAGTCAGCTAATTATACCAGCCTCAGATTTGACACTATCTACTTACAGTCACATTATCTGCATAAGCTTTTCTTTAGTGGATGTCACTTTCAAAACTCTGACTTAACAGCATTTTTGTGTTTTTTAAACCAACCAACTTGAAGAGGACTGCCTTTTGACACAGCCAAGACCCACAGACAGCTGGTTAGTCAGCTGCAATGAGATAGACATCTAGCCTCCAAGTATCTGCTCAGCCAAGAGCTACCATTGGGCACATAAACATGCTGCCCTCTAACACAGAGGGACCTTGCGGTGACAGCACCAGGTAATTCCCCACACAGCAACTACACCAGCCAACATTTTTCTTGGGACTATGCCTCATCACACCACCAACGCAGAGGCAGTGGCTGCCGTTTCTGCTAATAGATGTGAAATACCACCTTTCTCTGCAGTACCAAATCCAGTGTATCTCCTCAGTCATGCTCTCTCTTGTCTTTCATATTGAGGAACACTGGATTTTAAGGTCTTTGGGGACAACCATCTTCGCTCTGTCTGAGAACAGGAAAACTTGCCCTTGCACATGCATCTGCAATGCTCCCTCCCATCTTGACCCACCTCCTAGTGAGGACTGGATGGTCAGGAAAGATGGAAGAGGTGCTACACATTCCCCTTCAGCACTTAACACACATATGCGTACACACACATAGATACTTACCTTTACCCTGTTTTAATCAGCTACTCCGTAATTCATTATCACTGGGAATTTCTCCTCCCTCAGTAAATATTGTGTAATGCAATTGGGCCTCTCCGCCTGCTCATGTTCTGCCACCTCAGGGGATGTCAACTTATATACTGCACTGTTAGACCTACACCTGCATTGGCCCTCAAGTACTTTCATCCACATACAGGAACCCAGTTAGTCCTATGCTTAAAAAGCTCCCAAGGGCAATACACAGAGCACAGCTTGGCACTGCAGACTCCACATCTCCCCTGCTTCCCATACCTTCTCAAGTAAGGAATAGTCAGACTCCAGCTTACTAGAGTAAGAGCCACCTACAGTGGGGAAAGGTTTTAATTTTAATTTCAAATATAAAAGGACATTAAAAAGCGTGCTTCAGGCCACCATTGCAATTGTGTATCCCTATCCATAAGACTGCTTGAACATAGCCTGCATACAATCACCTATATGAATTACCTCAAGCCATTTTTACTATCACTAACACTCCAGACAGTGGAGTGCACCCAGATTAGTCCAGGTTCTGAACTACAGCACATATTAGTACTATACACCCCTCAGTCACACATACAGGGGAATAGGTACTTGTAGTTTTATGGAAAGATAGCTCATAAAACATGAGCTACTAGCTGGGTCCTCTCTCCCTTTACTTACCTTTTCTAGAGAAGAAAAAACTATGTGCCAGAATGATCAGATGTCTAGGAAGACAAGAGCTCCTACTGTGTGGCTAAAGCAGCACAGTTGGATCTCTTGCCCTCTCACTGACCCATGACATGATGGGACACTATCACCCTTACAGGAAGAAAAAGGATATCTTGCTGCATCACTGACAACCTGTGAAACAGATAGCAGGGCACTGACATTATTTGGAAGGGTCACTCACCTTGCCTTCCCCTCACCCCAAAAAAAACCCACAACTTTCAGGACACTGATGAGTGATACAGGACATATTTTTTTCTCAGCCACTTTAATGTCAGCAATTAAATAAGACAAATTTTAACCTGTTTTAAGAGCTGCTATGCAATACCTCCAGTTTATTATTACAGGTGCAAACTAACAGTTGGATCTGCTACCGTCGGAGCCTGTTTTATGCCTGGCCTGAAGATAGTACAATACCAGTGTTTACAGTATTGATAAAGATATTCCTTTGGAGATGAAACACACAACCAGTTCAGCAGTTCAGTCCCCTTTACTGTATCACGTTCACATGAGCTAATTCATAGAATCAGGTAACAATTGACTTCTCTACTAAGTGGCAAGCTGGTCCTGTTTCCAGCTGTGCTGCCTAATGAGGGAACACACAGAAAATGCTGACACTGCTGTCAAATGCTGTCAAAAATGAACAAATCAATAGCAATACCGAGGCAGTCAGAACCAGGAGAAAACAAAGCACTGGCTGCAACGCCTTGTCCAGCCTTCTCCTATTTCCTGGGCAGACTCAGACTACTCTCACTGCGCTTACAGCTCTAAAGTCTTACAGCCAACTCTGACCTAGTACAGCCTACCATGACACACACACAGGATGGGTTAAGATATAGTAAAAGAACTAATTTCAAAATTAGGCTAAAGGAAGAAATATGAAGCAACTCTTCAGCTGTCTTTCTACAGATAATGAGTGTAAAAAGTTCATCTGGCAAACACCGAGGTAACTCCAAGGGCCAAAAGGTGAATAGCAGCAGACTGAAAAAAGGGAACACACTTCCATCCTGCAGTCCTATAACAGAAAGAGTACTGAGCTTGGGAAAGAAAAGTGCTGTCCACTAAACATTCAGATCTCCTCAGAGACTATTAAGTGTACTCTGATGCTGTTATGACTAAGATAGCTGGCCAGCAGCCCTGCAAGCAGTGACCTAAAGACAGATTAAGAGAAAAATCAAGCTTATATTGTAAGTCAGAAGTTTCCCTCAACTGAGGACAGTCTCCATCTTAAGCTCTACTTTGTTTTGTTAAACTTAATGTTATTTCATACACTTCATTTCCTCATCCCCTGATTTTTCAACCATTCAGTACAAGCCAGCAGAAAAAGCATTTCATTCTGCAGGAACAGTTCTTGTGTCAGTAGCATTGCAAAACAATTAGATGTAACAGTTAGCTTGTAACCACCCCACCTCTTGTTCAGTTCTCTCATGCACACATCTAACATCCATTTGAAAAGGACTCAGTTCTCCTACTTTAGAATACTAGTCTTATCAATTTCACTTTATCCCGAGCTCTCACCATTAGCAGCAGGAGTCTTTAGCATCTGTGGCTGTGGCTTTTTGACACCTTTTTCTATCCGTATAGTGGCCCACTGTTGAAGAGAAAGAAAACATTAATTTCACAAATGTAGTATTCACTTAAGAAAAGTCACTTAAAAAGAGCAACAGTTAATTAACAACCGGTTGTGATTTTCAACCAATATCTTCACCAGGTAATCATCACCCATCTTACTCAGATATGTCCACAAACCCATACACAGTTCCTCTAAAGAAGCACTGCCTCAGTGCATTTAACAATCAAAAAAACCACCCTATGCTAGTCAGTACTTCCCAAATCTGCTTGCCAGTCTTCAGAGAGCCGACACGGTGCTTGACAGATGTTTCAGTTCCAGTTCAGATACACAGCCACCAAGAGCCTCATAGGCCTCCGTCAGCCTTGCTACTTGCACTCCAGCCACTGAGTCATAGCCGCACGGGAAGCTCCGGGAGCTGAGCTAGACAACAGCCCCTAAACACACAACACGTGTTCATAGAGCCAACAGACACATCACAACTCAACTTGTCTTCTTTCAGAGTAGTTTCACCAAACTGAAGCAAAAAAAAGTCCTAACTGTGTTAAGTCAAACTGAGGCCTGCACACAGCTAACTCCGCTAAAAACCAAAACAGCATTGGCAGTCATGGGAGGTCTCATTTAAGTTCAGTCTCAGTCCAGAGAGGATTACACCCAAGATTTTTCCAAGCTGAACAAAACTAAAATTTCCCTTGACTTTGCAGCTGCTCATTTCTTGGAATTTTAGAGCTCTGAGCAGCAGAGAAACAGGCCAAATCACCAGCTCTTGTGTACAGCTGCAGAGAGAGCCACTTCCCCAGCCCTTGGAAAGGGCTGCCAGCTCACTGGGGTTAACCTACTCTTTTCTAGTGGATGGGCTGGGAGAATGAGATTGAAACAGGTAATAAAGTTCTGCTCCCCAATGAGCGTCAAAGGTTGCCAGCAGCTCTGCTCCCTGCAAACACCCATGGCAGAACCACACAGGTGTCAGGAGACTTCCTCTCATTTCCAGCCCTGATGAGGCTGGAACCAGTTTAACCTGCTCTCAGGCCAAAAGGCCTTCTTGACCTTCAGCTGACTCAGTTACACACAGTGCTTTAAAATAGCCCTTCTACCTCCTATGTCAGACTTCATTTTTACTGGGTTAACGATTACAACCCCTTTGCTGCCCCAAAGCCTGCCCGTGATGACAGAGTAGCCCTTCTGGCCTGGATTCTTCCTTTCC